AGGACGCGCCATCTTTGGCTTCCTCAATATGCGCCCTCTCCTCTTACTCCCTAGAGGTGGAGGGAACACAGGTAGGGACCCCCCACACAGCCTCGGAGGAGGCAATGGAATTAGCAGTCTCTGCGGAGGCATTAGTTCTGGAGGCCACAACGGCTGACGCTCCCTCTGGGGAGGTTGAGGCGGCGTCTTCGCCGCCAGAGGCCTCCCCGGAGGGAGCGGAGGAGGAGCGCCTGGAGGAGGCGTGAAGGCCTGGCTTTCACGCTCCTCCGGGTCTCCCAAGCCAACCTTGGCCGCGGCGCCCGGGCCCAAGACCTGTGGATATACAGGCTTGCGGAACTGGGCGCCGGGCTGGGGATGGTCACCGAGCCGCACTTAGTCCCGGTTGGTAACTCCAACTGGCTGGGTAGCAAGTGTGGCTTGGCGGTCGTGGTGGCCTGTCTCGCAGCGGATTCCCTCCCCTGTTCGATCAGGAAGAGGGCGGACTCGTATGTGGGCGATTGACTACGGGCCCGTCACTGTGGTGGGGGTGTATCTCCCCCCACTACAGGAACAAACAGGGCCGCGGCAAACTTGCCCGGATTGAGAAGGTTCTAGGCAGGACGTGGTACGTGAGTGCCACCCCCGACCTGTCGTAGTTGCCGGGGACTTTAACGCCCACTCGGAAGAGTGGGGCTGTAGTCCCCGGCAGCGGGACCCACGGGGCAATGTCGTGGCCGACGGGATCCACCAGCACCTGTGTGCGGCCGGGGGAGGCGAGTCAGTGACACATGGGCCTCCCCCTCGGCTGCCCGGAACTTCCGGGAGTGGGTGGTGGAGGAGGAGAGGGAATCACTGTCTGATCATAGATATGTGATGTGGTCTCTCCGACTCCCACCCCTCACCGGGTGCTGGCCCGCCACCCTGGAGGGGGACTTTCCCCTCCCCAAACGATGGGCCCTCGGTCGATTAGACGTGGACAGGTTCCAGGCGGCCGTCCTCGCGGCCACCTGGCATCTCGGAAGAGAGCCAGGTGAACGGGACCCCCTCCCTCCCCAGGAACTGGCGAGGGAGGTAGTGGGAATTGAATTGTGGCGTCGGCATGCGACGTCGCGATGCCCGGTCCCACCCCGAAAGCGCCGGCGGCATACTGTGGACGCAGGAGATTGCGGAGATCCGCGACTCCTGCGTCCGAGACCAAAGGCTATACCAGTGCCCGACGCGATGAGGAGGGGGATGTCGCGGGGATAAAACGGGATTACCTAATCAAAAGGAAGCCCTGAAGCCGCCATCAAGGAAGCCAAGGAGAAAGGCTGGGAACGACTGGTGGACTCCTAGACGAAGACCCGTGGGGCGCCCATACAAACGGACGGTCGGAAAGATACGTCCATGGGCGCCCCCTCTGACGGAGTCGATGGACCCCCAAGACCTCGAGGGGCGCCTCGACATCCTTCTCCGAGGTGAGAGGAGGCCTCCCCGGCTCGCCCGTCCCGCGAATTACGGGACGAGGCTGGAATGAGGACCTGGGGTTTCACTAGAGGAGTTCGCCAGGGCCAGAAGAGGTCAAGGGCAAGCCCGGCCCCGACGTATTCCTGGCCGCGCCTGGGCCCTCGCCCTTGGCGAAAAGGGACCTGTCCGCAGCCACGCGGGACGTTCTGGAGAAATGCCTCAAGGAGAGGAGTCTCCCCCATATGGAGGAGGGCCAAGTTGGTCCTCTCCCTAAGGAGAGCAAGACGCNCATCCCACCCCGACACTGGGAAATTCGAAGCCTGGCCCCCTTTCTAGTAAAGGGGGTGCTAGGGCGAAGGGGGGAACATGTGCGCGGATAGGGGAAAAGGACTACGTCTGGGAAAGCCTACGATTAGGTCTGACGTGGTCCTCTCCCAAACGGTCCAAAAATACCGGTGGTTAGGACGAAATTGGGCAGATTTGTTGCCAGGAAAAAAGGATCCTGAGACCACTACAACTGCGGCCATCTCCATCCAGGCCACTAGCACTGGGAAAAGGAGGAGGGAACGACGAGGTGGAGGTTTCGTCCTCGTCGGTTGTCATCGTGGAGCAACCCACACAGACGAAACTCCCCCGCATTTTTGTTCCAGACAGGGAATCCCAGAGGGCGTGAACCGACACATGGCCGCTATGTCGGCATACGATACCGTCAGGAGAAAGCGGCCAAAAAGAAAAGGGGAGAACGTGAAAGCTCGCCTCGAGGCGGAGGTGGCGGACCTCCTCGGCAGGGGTATCCTTCGGTCTTTGAAGGATACGAGGCCTGCCGAGGAGGTCTTTAAGGACTCTGCCTCGAGGGCACTTCTTCGAGAGGCGAGAACACCAGAACTGGCCTCAGAGGTGGGCCGGGCTCTTGGAGCCATAAGGCTTGTTGCACGAAGGTCTAATACACTTAAGGGGACCTTCGTGTCACTTATGAACCGAGCAGTGGCCACCTCCGAGGCCGTTATGACAACCCTTCTGGCGAGGGTTGCAGCCTGCGGTGAGGAGGGAGAGCCAGCGGCGGCAGCAAACAGGGAGGCTGAGAAGATGAGGGAAGAACTGAGGATGCTCAGGACTCAGAACCGAAGCCTGGAGGAGAAGCTTGCAGCCAAAGAGATCGAGACAGGTCCGGCACCGGCGCCGCAGTTAAATGTCCGGACTTATGCTCAGCCGACTAGAAGTGGAGCTTCGTCACTGAAGGAGGAGCCCCGACCGGGGCCTTCTGAGAAGAAGAAAAGGAAGGTGCAGAGGAGACCAATTGTAGAAGCTCCTCTAGCTCCTCGGAAGAGGTTTTCAAGGGGGCTCTAGTGGTGTGATCCCGTCGTACGACGACACCATGCCGCTGGATGCCTCCCCCACCGGTTTTGAGACCTCCGATAGGAGGAATTAGAAAAGAGCTCGACGAAGACCTGGCCAAGCTCAATTTGAGACCGGAAGGGGAGGAGGCCTACAAGGCGCTATCCAGGGGGATAGAATACTTCCTGGAATGTAGGCAAAGGGCGCAGGAAGACAGAGGTTCGTGGGTTCCCAAAATGGAGAACCTCGTATAGATCCTATGTCCCCCCTCTGCTCCGATTCCTACGAAAGGGAAGGCGCCAGCCGACCCGATCGAGGAAAGAAAAATGGGAGCAAACCAGAACCCAGCTCCAATAGGAAGCAAGAGGACGGAGGCGGAGAAGAAGAGGGAGAAAAAGAAGAGGAAGGCGGCCAATAAGAAAAGGAAACGGGCCCAGGAGAAGCTCCAGGCAGCCAGAAAGGAGGAAGGTCCTCCCTCAAGGAGGATGGAGCCCCCTAACAAGGAGAAGAAGCCCCAAGGCGAGGGCAAGCCGAAGAAGGAGAAAGGGGCTGGCCGAACACCAGGCCAGAGGCGGGAGGAGAGAGGGCTCCCTCCCTCTCTCCCTCCGACCGTATCTCAACTTATCTCTGTTCCAGGAGAGACATGGAGCAAGGTGATCGGAAGGAGAGAAAAGAACAAGGCGAAGCAGGAGCTGAAGAGGAAAGAAGCGGCTCCTCGACAACAGGTCCCAGATGGGGAGGGCCAAAAGTGGTGGGAGTGGTGCCAAAGCCGCCTAAGTCAGCGGCCGTCACCATAACATGCTCTGAGGGGTCTTACAAAGATTTTATGACCGAGGCCAGGCGCCGGATCAATCCGGAGGAGCTGGGCATCCCGGGGGCCTTGCGAATTCGCGCGGCCCGAACGGGTGCCCTGCTGATCGAGGTGCCTGGTCTCGGCTCAGGGCCCTCCGCCGACCGACTTGCCGAGGAGCTCGGCAAGTTGGCGACGGAGAAGGGCCCCGACTATCGCGTCCGAAGGCCGGTGAAGATCACATCTGTGCGTATCACTGGCCTGGACGCGACGGTCGGGGCAGAAGAGGTGGCGGCCGCAGTGGCCAAGGCTGAGGGATGCCTGCCCGCGGAAGTTTCCGTGGGCAGGTACAACCTCACCCAAAGAGGACTGGCCTCGACAGTGATGCGGTGCCCGCTCGCGGCAGCCAGTAAGGCAGCCCCGACGGGGCGAGTCTGGATTGGCTGAACCCGCGTCGGGGTGATGGTGCTGCCCGCCCGCGCCGAGTTCTGCTTCAGATGCTTGAAGCAGGGCCACGTGCGCGGGCGGTACGGGAACGCCGTCGACCGCAGCGATGCCTGTTATCGTTGCGGTAACCCCGGCCACCGCGCCAAAGAATGCGAGGCGGTAGCGGCCCTGTCTGCGCGGGACTGGGAAGGAAAGCCGACCACAAGGTCGGCGGTCCTTCCTGCCGCCCCCTCACTGGGAAGGAGAGGAGGCAAAGGAGGAAGATGGAGACCAGACCCGGAACAGACGGGGGGCAACTGGAGCCGCCCCCCCAGCCAACGCTAAGGACGGGTCAACCTCCTCCACTGAGAAAGGAATCAGGAGATAGGGGGGAGAATGGGCAGACCTCCCCCCCCAACGAGGGAGGAGAATCCAACGACGGCGGAGGCGGTGCTTGACCGCGTCCTGGACCCCGTCGCCATGGACGTTCCGGAGGAGGTGAAGCCCCGGCGAGAAAAAAGGAAACGCGGGGCGATGGAGGCAGCGATACTAACAGTGGAGTCTGGAGAGGAGGAGACTTTGACGTGGAGCTCATCGCCATCCCGGGAGGATCAGGTGAGGTGGGTGAATGCGAGAGCTCCACCCCCAACGACAGTAGAAGGGAAGCCAGAGGACGCGCCATCTTTGGCTTCCTCAATATGCGCCCTCTCCTCTTACTCCCTAGAGGTGGAGGGAACACAGGTAGGGACCCCCCACACAGCCTCGGAGGAGGCAATGGAATTAGCAGTCTCTGCGGAGGCATTAGTTCTGGAGGCCACAACGGCTGACGCTCCCTCTGGGGAGGTTGAGGCGGCGTCTTCGCCGCCAGAGGCCTCCCCGGAGGGAGCGGAGGAGGAGCGCCTGGAGGAGGCGTGAAGGCCTGGCTTTCACGCTCCTCCGGGTCTCCCAAGCCAACCTTGGCCGCGGCGCCCGGGCCCAAGACCTGTGGATATACAGGCTTGCGGAACTGGGCGCCGGGCTGGGGATGGTCACCGAGCCGCACTTAATCCCGGTTGGTAACTCCAACTGGCTGGGTAGCAAGTGTGGCTTGGCGGTCGTGGTGGCCTGTCTCGCAGCGGATTCCCTCCCCTGTTCGATCAGGAAGAGGGCGGACTCGTATGTGGCGATTGACTACGGGCCCGTCACTGTGGTGGGGGTGTATCTCCCCCACTACAGGAACAAACAGGGCCGCGGCAAACTTGCCCGGATTGAGAAGGTTCTAGGCAGGACGTGGTACGTGAGTGCCACCCCCGACCTGTCGTAGTTGCCGGGGACTTTAACGCCCACTCGGAAGAGTGGGGCTGTAGTCCCCGGCAGCGGGACCCACGGGGCAATGTCGTGGCCGACGGGATTGGGCCTCGTGCTCATGAACACGGGGTCCACCAGCACCTGTGTGCGGCTGGGGGAGGCGAGTCAGTCATTGACCTGACATGGGCCTCCCCCTCGGCTGCCTGGAACTTCCGGGAGAGGGTGGTGGAGGAGGAGAGGGAATCACTGTCTGATCATAGATATGTGATGTGGTCTCTCCGACTCCCCACCCCTCACCGGGTGCTGGCCCGCCGCCCTGGAGAGGGGGACTTTCCCCTCCCCAAACGATGGGCACTCAGTCGATTAGACGTGGACAGGTTCCAGGCGGCCGTCCTCGCGGCCACCTGGCATCTCGGAAGAGAGCCAGGTGAACGGGACCCCCTCCCTCCCCAGGAACTGGCGAGGGAGGTAGTGGGAATTGTGGCGTCGGCATGCGACGTCGCGATGCCCTGGTCCCACCCCTGAAAGCGCCGGGCGGCATACTGGTGGACGCAGGAGATTGCGGAGATCCGCGACTCCTGCATCCGAGCCAGAAGGCTGTATACCAGTACCCGGCGCGATGAGGAGGGGGATGTCGCGGGGACAAAACGGGACTACCTTAATAAAAGGGAAGCTCTGAAGGCCGCCATCAAGGAAGCCAAGGAGAAGGCCTGGGAACGACTGGTGGACTCCCTAGACGAAGACCCGTGGGGGCGCCCATACAAACGGACGGTCGGAAAGATACGTCCATGGGCACCCCCTCCGACGGAGTCGATGGACCCCCAGGACCTCGAGGGGCGCCTCGACACCTTCTTCCCGAGGGTGGAGGAGAGCCCTCCCCGGCTCCCCGTCCCGGAATTACGGGACGGGAACTGGAATGAGGACCTGGGGGTTTCACTAGAGGAGTTCGCCACGGCCAGGAAGAAGCTCGGGGCTAAGGGCAAAGCCCCGGGCCCCGACGGTATTCCTGGCCGCGCCTGGGCCCTCGCCCTTGGCGAAGGGAACCTATCCGCAGCTACGCGGGACGTTCTGGAGAAATGCCTCAAGGAGGGAGTCTTCCCCCATAAGTGGAGGAGGGCCAAGTTGGTCCTCCTCCCTAAGGAGAGCAAGACGCCCGGTGGGGCGCCCGGTGGGGCGCCAGCCTTCAGGCCGATATGCCTGCTGGACGAGGCGGGCAAGATACTCGAGCGCATTATTGCCAATTGCCTCGTCCAGCACATGTCCCTGGAAGGGCCGGACCTCCACAGCAACCAGTACGGGTTCAGGCCCGGACGCTCTATGCTGGATGCCGTCCAGCGCGTCCGGGACCTGGCCCGTGCCGCTGTGGAGGAGGGGGGCAGGGTGTTGCTCGCGGTGTCTCTCGACATCACTAACGCGTTCAACACCCTGCCTTGGCCGGAGATTGGACGGGCCCTCGAATACCACGGGGTGTCCGTCTATCTCCGGCGCATCCTGTCGGCCTATTTCAGGGACAGGTACCTCGCCTACTCCGGGAGAGGCGGGGTCCAAGGCTGGCGCCGAATGGAGCACGGTGTTCCACAGGGGTCCGTACTGGGCCCCCTGCTATGGAACATCGCGTTCGACCGGGTGCTGCGCTCTCCCCTTCCCCTCGGCGCCCACGTAGTCTGCTACGCAGACGATACGTTGGTGCTCGCCGAGGGGGAGAATTGGGGGGAGGCTCGCCTCCGTGCAGAGACGGCACTCAGCTCGGTGGTGGGCACCATCAAAGACCTCGGGCTGAAAGTGGCCCCCCAAAAGACCCAGGCGATGCTGTTCCATCGCCGTCGGGGTGAGGGGAGGCCACGAAAGGCCCGGGTCCTGGTGGATGGTGTCCGTGTCCGCGTCGGGCCCACGAGTATCTGGGCCTGACGTTGGACAGCCATTGGGACTTTGGGGCCCACTTCAGGCGCCTGGCCCCCCGGGTTCGCAAGATGAGCACGGCTCTGGCCGGCTTGATGCGAACCCAGGGGGGCCCGGGATGGCGGGCTCGCCGCCTCTACGTCGGTGTCGTGCACTCGGTCGCCCTCTACGGGGCGCCCATCTGGGCGCCACGACTACTGGCCACCGGCCGCAACAAGAACCTGATTCGTCAGGCGATGCGGCCGGTGGTCATGAGGGCGATCCGGGGGTACGTCACCGTTTCGTATCTGGCGGCGACCACCCTGGCCGGCTTCCCCCCAGTGGAGCTCCTCGCCGAAGAGAGATTTCTCTTATATTGGCGAACAAAGGAGCTCCGCGGGAGGGAGGAGGGACTATCGGTCAGGGACCTGAGGGCTCTAAAGGCCCAGGCCTGTGTCCGGACGCTCGACAAGTGGTCCGCCGAATTGGCGGACCCACGAGGGTTCGGCCGTTGGACAGCCGAGGCTGTCCGCCCCTGCCTATCAGAAATGATGGGCAGGAGGGGACGCGGGCTGTCCTTCCATCTGGTGCAGGTGCTGACCGGACACGGATGTTTCGGGAAGTACCTGCACAGGATCAGGAAGGAACCCACCGCCGGGTGCCACCACTGCCCGGAGCGAGTGGACTCGGCGCAACACACGTTGGTCTCGTGCCCCGCATGGGACCAGCGGCGCCGAGTCCTGGCCCGGGCGGTGAGGTGTAGGGTGGAGGCCCTCTCGCTCCCGCGCCATGTGTGGGAGCGAAGTGGTGTGGGGGGAGGCGGCCTCCTTCTGCAAGGACATCATTTTCATCACAGTATTGCCACGAGTTTGTGTCGTCAGACGAATTGGCTCCTATGTGGCGAGCACCTCAGGGTGTTGGTCGCACTCAGCAAAACCGATCGCGCTGGATTTGGCAGCCGTCGGGGTGCGGTGCGCGTTCCGAATCTACTTCACGAGTCTAGTCAAGTGATCGAGGAAAGAGGCAATGCCTCGCCCGTCACTTGCAATGCACATAAAATCCATGACAAAGTATCGCGAGATACACGAAATACGATTTCCCGACGTGGCTGGTCGCAATGTTGAACTAGCGTCGGGAAATACTTGAAATGCACGAAACGGTGGTATACAAGCGAAGAGGTGTCAGAACACACGGGTAGCCAAATGCCTCGTCATCTGATCAGTGACGCAAAAGGGATAAACTAGATTTATACCCATCATTCCCATCCAGGGGAAGAGTAAACTTCGAACAATCGAACGACCAATGGCACAAGTTGCAAAATAATGGCTCAAATTGTAAAGCATGGCGAAACAAAGGCTTAAATATGATGGCTCAAATGGAATTGCTCAAACACTTCACAATAAAGATGTTATAAGGAAACCGCAAATCTAAGCAAAACTAAGCTATATAGCATCCAAGGAAGAAAGATAGAAAGGCGGGGTCTGGTCTGCAAGAGCTTGCCTGCTCGTAGCCGGACACCCTACCAGTTGTCTCTAGGCATGCGTACATACGGAGGAGGGAATTAAAGTCGTAGGCTCGAAGAGTTATGGTGGACCCTAACGAAGGGGCAGTTACCCACACCTTTCTCGGGAAGCCGCAGCCAGCCTCCGTATGTGCATAAGAGACAACTGAAGGGCGCAAGAGCCAAGGAAACAGAGGGGTAACCCGCGACCTAGCTCGAGCGCCATGGGATTAACGTTCCACAATGACGTTTCCCAGTCAGGTACTTAAGGGTACCTGCCTTCCATATCATAAGAAATTCGTATGTAAATTTGTACATAATTTGTACATAATATCAAATATAGCTAATATACATGAGCAATACATTCCTATCAAAGAGCCTCGTTAGAAATGAAAAGCAACGCGCCGCAATTGGACTTAGAAAATAAACTCTGACTCTGAATCAAAGGCATGCTACCCAAAAAATATTCGAATGAGCTTGCAAGGAGTCATCACACGAATGATGGTCTCCACGGCAAGCGAAAGTCTACATTCGGGCTGAATAACTAAGTGGGAAATGATACGTCTGACCTCGAAGTATTCAGCAAAAAGCATGGCAATAAACGACGGAGCGTGTAAACACTGACGTCTCAGGGCAAAGCACACGTGCGTTGATTGTAACCTAGTACACTACACCAAATGGAGATAAGAGCTGAGATCTCCAAGTGTACAGCACGTGTGTATCGAACGAAGTCCAAAAAGACGAAAATCCCACATGGCAGGTGCTCTCAGACTGAGAAAGTAATATGCCCCATAATACGACGAGCAGTCAAGCGTCCAAAATAGCAAATAATGCTGTGGACGTCAAAGAACTCACCAAAGCAGAGAAGCGAATCTGGGGACGACCGGTCTCGGCTGGCGTCCTACGGACCGCTATTGCCATGCGTGACATGGAACGGGGCGACCTGGGCATTGTCCGGGCGCCCCAAGTCACGTTATGGACTCTAGTATATGTGCGGCACTTGCACGAGTGATGAAACTGACGCCCAACGCAGCAAACTAGGACAGCGAAGAGTGTTCAAGCAGAGAAGCGAATCTGGGGACGATCGGTTTCGGCTGGCGTCTTGCGGACCGCAATTGCCATGCGTGACATGGAACGGGGCGACCTGGGCATTGTCCGGGCGCCCCAAGTCACGTTATGAACTCTGCTATGTGAGCGGTACTCGCACGAGTGAATTGACGTCCAACGCAACAAACAAATAGATGCTATAATTGGAAGACAGCGGAACGTGCTCAAACAGAGAAGCGAATCTGGGGACGATCGGTTTCGGCTGGCGTCCTGTGGACCGCAATTGCCATGCGTGACATGGAACGGGGCGACCTGGGCATTGTCCGGGCGCCCCAAGTCACGTTATGGACTCTGTCAGGTGTGTCGGTACATCCACGTACACACTACATGTTCGAGCAGCCAAGCGCCCAAAAATAGCAAACGATGCTGTGGACGCTAAATTCACCAAAAGCAGAGAAGCGAATCTGGGGACGATCGGTTTCGGCTGGCGTCCTGCGGACCGCTATTGCCATGCGTGACATGGAACGGGGCGACCTGGGCATTGTCCGGGCGCCCCAAGTCACGTTATGGACTCTGCTATGTGAGCGGTACTCGCACGAGTGAATTGACGCCCAACGCAGCAAACAAATAGACGCTATAATTGGAAAACAGCGAAAAATAGCAAACGATACTGTCGACGTTAATAAATTCACCAAAAGCAGAGAAGCGAATCTGGGGACGATCGGTTTCGGCTGGCGCCCTACGGACCGCAATTGCCATGCGTGACATGGAACGGGGCGACCTGGGCATTGTCCGGGCGCCCCAAGTCACGTTATGGACTCTGCCAGGTGTACTGTACCGTAACCTCCATGGGACTTAGTCAAGAACTCGCCTATAACAAACAAGGAGATCGTTAGAGACACTGCCTGGGTAGGCGAAGGTAGGCTCACGCACTGTTAAATGGGAGTCGCGAAGCGAAACCCAAGTCTTCCCATTGCGATGCAACGAACCTGATTGTCCCGGCCTGGGAAACCGAACAAACAGGAGTAGCGACAGGGGAAAGGCGAATGATCGAGACAGGAGAGTACCAATATCGAACAGGCAAACAGCGTTGTAGACCGCTCTAGGTATAATGTTGGGGTCGGGTAAATCCTGATACTCGCAACTTGAACTAGTCCCAGTGCTAACGTTTGGGTCGCACTGATGGCTGAATGGCTGTGGAGACGGTAAACATGCACAGTCGCTAGCGGCCCCCCGGGAAGACTACGGTCGACCCGTGGTCGAACGACATTCTCAAGCTGTGGTGAAGGAAATGCGCCTAAAGCTGAATGGCTGTGGAGATGATAAAAATCACAGTCTAAAGCGCTCCCCCAGAGATACCTGTCGACCCCTCTGCGGTACCCCAGACTTGGTGGCGCAATGGTGGCTCTGCGTTACTCGACCTTCTTTCCACTGCACTCGTGGGAACATGGGAAAAATTAAAAACTTAGCAAGAGAGAAAAGGAAGGAATTTCGGGCCTCTAAGGCTCCCTATCCTACGCCTGGGCGTGCTAAAGGAAAGCAGTCAGGCAGATTAGAGTCAAAAATAGGGAGCTGCAGTCTCCGAACTGTCCGCATTGTATTAGAAAGATGTGATTTGATGCTCGCGTCAGTACAGGGGAACCGAGCGATGCAGGATAGGAACAGTGAAAGAAATTCGGATGAAAGTAGACACGCGCCGGAAATCGTGAACCGCGAAGAAAGATAAATATTGCCCCAAACCCACATAGGTGCTGTAAATTCAAATCTAGTCTCCATACCTCTGGTATCTACCAGTGGTAGTTCCGCACCCGCGTTGAGAACCACGGGAATTAGGATTCTCCAGCAAAATATGAGGCAAATATACACATGCGTTTTTATAAGAGAGCGTCATGCTCTTAAGGAAAAAAAAATACAAGGAATATTTCGACTACCGCGCTCTCGATATTTTTCTCTCCTCGGAACGAAAAATGAGATGCAGGTCCCGAACGCACGGCGTCCCGTCGCCACCTAGTACGCCCTCCTTCTTTCATGGTTCATGGAGGCGTTCAAGGGCCGTCACAGGAGAGATCCGTCGATTAATTGCCTGCAAAAAGCTGGACATCCTGTTATTGCAGGAAACTAACACCAGGAAGCAAGGCAAGGTCTACTCGTGTGAAGGGCTAGGGGTAGGAGTCAGCATAGCGGCAACCCGGAAGGAGCGCCCGTGGGCGGCAGTCGTAAACTGCAATCCACAAATACAAATGCTGACAATCTCGCAGCTCACCACCCCACACTGTGCATGTGTGGAGGTGCGAGCACCCGGCTTCTCGTTCTACGCAGTGTCGTGCTATTTTCAGTACAGCGAAGAGATCGAGGGGCACCTCAGACACCTCGAGGCGGTGTTTCATTCTCTGAGGGGGCAGAGATTAATAATAGGCATGGATGCCAACGCGAGATCCCCTATGTGGGGTGATCGCAAATTAGATAGCCGAGGCACGAAGCTAGAGGAATTCATCCGCGCTTGCGGATGGAAAATCCTCAATGCTCAAGGACAGCCTCCTACCTTTTGGACAGGATGGGGTTCGTCACACATTGACGTAACTCTGGCATCCGCCGCCATGAGCCGCTTCGTCGGCGAGTGGAAGGTCAGAGAGGGCTGGACGACGAGCGACCACAACTCCCTTGACATCAGGCTGAGGGTGCCAAAAGTCAGGGGCGAAGACCAGCGTACTCTGATCACTGCTCGGTTCGATGTAAATCGGGCCGACTGGGAGAGCTTCGCTGAGAGCCTAATCGAGCTATCCAGATCGAAACTCGAGGTCCTCGACCTGGAGTCTGCCCGGGACGTGGAAAGCTTCGCAAAAGTCCTCACAGAAGTCCTCATAGAAGCCTCAAAACGGGCCATGCCCAAAAAGAGGCGATTTAGAAAGTCCAACCCGTGGTGGACGAAAGAATTGACAATCCTCAAAAAGGATGTCTATAGGAAGAGACGGGCTCTCCAGCAGGAGAGTGACAAGTCGACGCGCCTCGCAAAACGCCAAGAGTACTGCGCAGCTCTGCAAAAGTACGGCGTGAGGCTGCGGAAGACTAAGAACAAGAGCTGGCAAAAATTTGTAACGGAGGTGGGAAACTCGGAGTCCTAGGGATTCGTGTACAAACACGCGGCTCAGAAGCTCCGGGTGGACGAAATGCTAAGCAGCCTTCGAAACGAAAACTCCTCGACCATCACCCTAGAGGAAACTGCCGAACGCCTGCTGGAGATGCACGTCCCGGAAGACCGAAAGAATGAGGACACGCCTGAGCAGCATGGCATCAGAGAAAGCGCACGTATCGCGTCAGATACCGACGACGCCCCGTTCTTCAAAGAGGCAGAAATGGTCGAGGTCGCAAAATCTCTGAAGTCCAAGAAAACGCCCGGCCTCGACCTCGTAGAGGTTGCAGTCGTGCGGGCTGCTTCAAGGACAATACCCAGTCAGTTAGTTAGGCTCTTCAATGGGTGCCTTCGGTGGGGCGTCTTTCCTTCGATCTGGAAGGAGGGCTCGCTTAGAGTCTTTCTGAAAGACAAAGACAAGGACGTGGAGGACCCGAAATCCTATAGACCCATATGCCTCCTCCCCGTTATAGAGAAATTCTTCGAGAAGCTCCTAAAGGAGCGACTCACCCAGACGTCATTGTCGTCGGGGAAGCTCTCCGATCGGCAGTTCGGCTTCATGCCCGGAAAGTCGACGGAGGACGCGATCGTGGAGCTGCGCCGGATGGTCTCCGCCTCAGAGCGGAGATACGTCGTCGCGCTGCTCTTCGACATAACTGGCGCCTTTGACAACGTCTGGTGGCTTCTCGTGCTGCAGGCCTGGAGGGAGCGGGACTGCCTCCGCAATATCTTCCAA